TCAAGAGACGTCCACGTATTTATAGGAAACCGCACAAATCAATTTAAAAGAAAAAGAAACCTTTTTGATCACGTGTTTTTTGCACACTGCGCCGCGCTCTGACTGGTGATCTCTCTTTGTACTTTGGTTCCCGTCGCGCTTGCATTTTCAAAGGCGCATCACTCTTGCTTGTGGACGCTGTTATTGAGGCTAGCTGCCAAAAACAAAATATGTACAATGTTTTCTCCAGACGAATTTAATCGAAACACTACCCAATTTAAATTAATCGCGTGTTTTACAAGCCTATTTTAATATGTAGGGCAAACATACACCTGTTCAGTGAAGCTAAAAAAAAAACAGCCACTTAAAATTGCAAGTGGGAAGTAGCAAGTGGGATATCTGAACCAAAATGGGACTATTTGGAAGTAAACTGGGGACACCTAGAGTTAAAGTAGGACCAGTTAGGGATAAAGTGGGACCAGTTAGAGATAAAGTGGGACCAGTTGGAGGTAAAGTGGAACCAGTTGGAGGTAAAGTGGGACCACATAGAGTAAAGTGGGACCACTTGTAAAACCACTTTTAATTTTCACTTGGGCTGGACGGCGCGGCGTCAGGTCCACGCCGACGACACAGCAGCTCCACCGCCCTCACGTTCTAAGCCGTCACAAACACGATTGTCCGCCGTCCCTGACAACAGCCCAACGCCTAACTTCCAAAACGTCACTCACCTTCCGATTTCCGTGTATCCGTGCTCCATGAAACGGAGAATAGTGGCGAACAGGAGGCTGTCAATCACCGGTCCTAAATCGAGACTCGCAGTTGCTTGCTTGCACAGACTTGGGAGCGGCTCATTCGTGTCCGCTCGCTTTTGATTTTTGAATTTTGAAAGTGCAAATATCACTCGCGAAAAGAGAAAGCGATCACGGTAGCAGGATAACAGCAGAGACAGCGCCGGTACCGGCGAGCCGAAAAAGGCGCCCTTGGCTAGAATAATTCTGCAGTAAATACACATGAAGCTTTTCCGTGATATTTCCAGATATTAGATATTTATTTATAACAATTTATTTTACAACTGAATACAACATATTGTTAATTTATTTTGCTAGTAACTTCTCAATATTCAGGATCTACGCGTTTAACCTTTATTTTTCTCATTTACTGCGGAAGCCACGGACGCCAGGGAAGTGCAGGTACAGTGAACTACCGGGCGTCCCAAGTAGCGTCCAGGCTCTTTAAATCGACCGGAAAATTCAGCTTCTTAACCTATCGCGCTACACTTTTGTGCAGCGTTGCCCACAAATTTTTTCTTTTTTTTTTTTGTAAAATTTGCAAAAGAGCGAATTTATTTGAGGAAAAATTAAAGAAATAAAAAAGCTTAGCTCCTATGGAAACGCAGCGAAGCGACCGGTCTTCAAACAATACGGCGCCGTTTCGCTCGTGAGACAAAAGATGACGCAAGCGGTCGCGACGCCAACTGCCGCCAACGAACGAGCATACGGCGCCGAGAGCCGGGGTTTTTAGCAGACGATCCTTTCGACTCAAAAGCTGTGTTGTTCTGTCCTTTAAGCTCCTTGTCTCTGGGTTTTCTACTATGATAAGACTGGTTACCCCGTTTTTCACTACATCGCCCAAGTAAACTTTAAACCTTAATTCATGGACGTTGAAACACCCATAAAGCATACATAAGCCACACTAATGAACCGCTAAAATAAAAAAAAATATGAAAGATGTTTACAATCCCCTGTAATGCCCAATTAGAGCGCAGCTCTTGAGAAGGAGGAGGGGAAGATACGGATCGAGAGGACGGTATGCCCCTCCTCCTTCATCCGTACTCTCCCCTCCTATACACCTTTCCAAAAAACACTCGACCCCAGGGACCACAATCCGCTTTCGAGCCCAGTCACTGAGTTTGAGGCTAGGCTCTCACCGGCGTCCCTCCTAACCCTAACCGAGTGGACTGTGATTTCAATAGGCGCAGCCTGCGTAGGCGCAGTTTCAAACGCTGCTGGCGGCTAAATTCTCGTTTTTTCCCGCTATATTTTGTGTTTCATGGTACATGTATTTTCCCGAGGGCATTGAGAAAGCATTGTGTCACACTAAAAAAAAAAAAAAAAAAAAACTGTAAACTGTTTTTGTTGGGTACGCGCGCGACAGAACGAGTGCGACTGGAATGTATAGACCTTTCCAAAAAGAGCGCTCTGGCCGCCGCCATTTTGCGAATCGAGCGACCCCTATCAGCCAGCAATTTCTGGCACCCACCTGAGCTGTGGAAACCCGGTCAGCGTGACTCCCCACCTGCATTTTGCATTCAGAGTTCGCCGGCTTTTCTTGGAAGTTTTTATTTTATTCGCCTGTTTAGGATGCTTACCCTTTCTATGTTATCTTCCACTGTGAGAACCAGCGAATGCCAGAGCTCGTAGCCCACTCGGCCTTCGCAGGAAACGAACGAAGAAAGCGGACGTCAAGCAGCCCGCGACGCAGGCAGTTCGACGTGCTTGGAGGATTATTTCCGTCGAGATAATCTCCAAAAAGCCTTCCAGGCTGTGTCCGGGTCTTCGCAAAAACTAGCTGATAGGGTCGGGTCGGGGGTGTGGCGACGGAATAAGCACGTTCGTTCATTTGCTATGAAGCTGTGCAAAAAAGGAGCTCTCTTCTACAAGTTCCCCAAAACACGCCGGATTCCGTCCGATCGTTGTGAAGTGACTATCGTCGACACTGTATATTGGACATGCTGTGTTATTTGAGACCTTTCTCAAATCATGTTCGGATAACGCGGCACCGAGGGGTACGTACAATACATTTTTTGTTCGATTGATGAGACTCATTGAATTTTATGTTGTGGGCGGGGAATATCCATGCAGTACGGATATCCTGTGTGGTCAAATATTTCGACCTTTATAGATTGACACGGCTGAGTTTACGGTGCCGTAAAACAATGAACATAAAATGAAACAAAAATTCCAGTTGCATTTTTTCTGTCGCGCACGGACTCACCAAAAGAGCTTTCATTTCTTTGTCTTTGTTCCCCAAAATAGAGCACTGCTTTCTTAAAGACCTCTATAAATTATGCTCGCCACAGAACACAAGATAAAAAAGAAAACGCGGCAATTCAGCCGCCACCAGCGTCCGGAATTGCTCCTACGCAGGCTGCCACAGCCTACTGACGAGAAACTCCACAGCTCAGCGCAGTCGGGCAACACTGACGTACCCTCTCAAAACCAGGGACACGCGGTGTAAATCGCTTCGTTCGAGACTGCCGCTGGAAAGGTCTATAGTTCTAGTTATTTGTTTTTTTCTTACGATCAGTTTTGATAACGCCGCGGGATTCGCCGCATGTGAAGCGACAAAGCGCTTTGCTGTCAAAAATAAATTGCAACAGAAGACGGCCGAAAGGCATGCATTTTTTCACGCTCACAAATAACGTGTTTACCGATGGACAGGACACGGACATACAATTGAGGAAGTGTTAACATTAGAACAATATATCGTACGTACCACACGATGCAGCGTTATCCAAAAAGAATTTATTTGAGAAAGATCTCAAATAACACAGTCACAGCGACGACAGTCACATCTTGACGATCGGACGTTTCGGGGAGAGCTTCCTTTTTTTCACAACCGCACCAAGGCAAAGAAACAAACGCGACTGACCCGTTTGTCACCCCAACCCGGGCAACTATTTTTGGAGATGACTGAGGATTCTACGCGGATTATCTCTGGGAGGGGGGAGAACAATGTTCCCAAAATCGCGTCGAGGGTCGTTCGACGTCCTTCACCTGCTTCGTTTCCCGTGAATGTCGAGCAGAAAAGCTTGAATGACAGGCACTTACCAGCCTTATTTCTCACAATGGAAGATAATACAAGAAGGGTAGGCAGCACGCATAAAAAAATGAAGTGGAAACTTTCAAGAGAGCGAGAAAACGTCGAATGCAAAACGGCTAAAATGCATGTAGAGAACCGCGCTGAGCGGGTCTTCACAGTCCCAGAGAGTGGCAGAAAACTTCTAGCTGATAGAGGGCGCGAGAGTCGCACCAGCCGCATCAGCATCAGGAACATGGCGGCGGCCTAGGAGCGTTTTTTGGAAAGGTGTATAAGAATGGTCATGCAAGCAAAAACTGTTGTACGAAGAGCTTCCTTTTTCTTAGACACGTTTAACTTGATAATTTGTTCTGAGGATTGAGCGATACGGCAGCGACGGCGTGCTAGCTCTCTCATTCTATTACGGCGTATCTAGCGACCGGGAAAACCGGGAATTGTCAGTTAAATTTTAATTACCGGAAAAAACCAGGGAATTGTCAGGGTGTCAAAAAGCGAGCCCAATCAGGGAAAACGAGCCGGAAACGCCATCGAGTGCCCTGAGCAAAGACTTGAGGACTTGGGTGCAGAAAAATATTCAATAAATTCTGCTTAGAGCGGAGCGCAGGCTTTGGTCACCCGATGTATAGTGTATGCTACCCGATGCAAACGGAACAGCCGACAAACCCAATCCAAGACTTGGAATCGATTGTCTTAATTAAAGTCTTTGTTTTTTGGAGTGTTGGTAGGAAGGGAGGGAGGGGGAGAGAACGAGAAAGGTCATCCCCATTTCGTAATTTGTTTCGTCTGCTGCTTGGCCACGACGGTCGCTATTGAACTCTAGGGCTCCATTGCTCCGAAATGCGACGGCCGACACGCAATAATGCACTGGCAAGGAGGAGATGGCGTAATTTGGCCCCGATCGTCTGAAGGCGATTTGTAAGCGTCCGAATAAAAAAGGTTTGCAATTAAACACTCGGTTCTGCTGAATGCACCGTTGAGTGGTTGCTGTGAATTTTTACAGTTTTGTATTGGGGTGAGCGTACACGACTTAGTTTTTACAGACGCTTGGAGACCCTTGAATTGTCAACGCATTGGTTAAAGGTCTTTTATTTCTCAGGCAGAGGTGGAAATTTGAGACAGTAGAACCAGTGTTGCGGCAAGTCCATTTCTTCTCGCGTAATTTTTCCTTCTTTTTGTACCATAAAGAGAATGGCAACCTTGGGGAAAATCTGCAAGTTTGAGCGATTGAAGTATCGGGTGGCTCTTGGGTGGAGTTGGTGTGGGGAACTGAAGGCTCTTTAGGGAGTCCCTACTCTGGGTTCGGTGCATCGAGAGCATAGCCCAGGTTTTTCAGCGAGGCCATAATGGCCTTGTAGACAGAGGGATCCTCGATGGTCACAGGAATCTGAAATAAAGGTTGACATCACTCGGGCGACAAGAAGAATTGAGTACTTTCATCAGCCAGAGCTTCCGAACAACCCGAAGCCGAGGAGCTGACACTAAAGCAACTAATAGGACGCTTGCACAGTTGCAGCGTGTTGTCATGGCTTGCCTTGACTGGTTTTCCCCTGGCGAGGTCGGCAATGGTCTTCCGCGGAATCTTTCCCGAGCGGGTCTTTGGCAGAGCTGGCACAGAAGTGGCCAGTCTGAAGGCCGCCACCGGTCCCACATCCATGCGAACCAGTTCGAAGATTTGCCCTCTGATCTCATCTAAGGATCTGCTTACATCTGAAGAGAGTGAGAGATGACCGACTCTGCAGGAGGCCAGAAGTGCCACAGGGGTTGTGGGATCGAGCGCTGGTTTTGCAATTTGGACGTTGCAACAGTCACTCGTGTAGTGTTCGTGCAAGTTTGCGCAGAGTACCGTAAAGCATCCCACAAGGTGTTGCAAGAAGGACAGAGGTGTGAAAAGGTTCGGTACTTGCAAGCCAACAATACAGGGTGAAACAAGGAGACGCCATGCTCTTTAAATCGACCGGATAAATTCGGTTTCTTAACCTATCGCGCTACGACTTTGTGCAGCGTTGCCCACAAATGGTGCATTTTTTTTATTTTTTTTTTAATTTGCATAGGGCGAACTTGTTTGAGGAAAAAGTAAAGAAAGAAAAAGGCTTAGCTCCTATGGAAACGCAGCGAAGCCACCGGTCTGCAAACAACACGGCGCCGTTTCGCACGGGAGACAAGAGATGGCGCAAGCGGTCGCGACGCCAGCTGCCGTCAAAGAACGAGCAGACGACGCCGACAGCCGGCGTAATTAGCAGACAAGGAATTGCAGTTCCTTATTGTTACCGCGCCTGTTTTTGTTTCTGCGACTGTCGCCGCCTGCGGAACGCGCGCCGCTTTTGACACTGATTTCAATGACAATTGCTGGATCGCGTTTGCCCGCTCCGCGAATGCGGTCACTGGCGGCCATCTTTAGGTAGAGTTATATTACCTCTAGCAAAGGTACAGCTCCTGCAGCCACTGTAATCCATCCATGGTAGACAGCGTTTTGGCAGGTGTGGTGGCAGGCTGCCGTCAAAATAGGGTGGATGATATTTCGTGCTTGATTGAATTGTTTGACGAAACATGTTTTTGACACCAAGCGTGAACGGTTGCGCGATCTTTGAGGACCCGGTGAAAGTTTCACGAAATCGCAGCACCGGGGGAAAAGCAGCACAGCTCGCATCGAAAGTCGCTGCACTGCTTTCCCCCGGTGCTGCGCTTTCGTAGAACCTTCTCCGGGTCCTCAAAGATGAGGCTATACCGTTCACGCCGGGTTTCAAGAATCTGCGTCGTCGAACAACTTGAATCAAGCACGAAATATCTCCCACGGTAGGGTGTACTAGATCCACGGCTATTTTATGGCACCCGGCCGCCATTGCGCTGTCTGCCATATTACTATGATGGCCAGAGATGATATAACTGTACCTAAAGATGGCCGCCAGTGACCGCATTTCGGTCCATAGGCGGAGCTGGTCAGACGCGATCCAGGAAATAGACATAGAGATCAGTGGCTTTTGAGTCGAAAAGATTGTCTGCTAAAGACGCTGGCTCTCGGCGCCGTATGCTCGTTCGTTGGCGGCGTTCGTTGGCGGCGTTCGTTGCGGCACCTCTTGTTTCCCGTGTGAAACGGCGCCGTGTTGTTTGAAGACCGGTGGCGTCGCTGCGTTTCCATAGGAGCTTAGCCTTTTTCTTTCTTTACTTTTTTCTCAGGTAAGTTCGCTCTTTGCAAGTTTGACCAAAAAGTATGCACCATCTGTGGGCAACGCTGCACAAAGTCGTAGCGCGATAGGTTAAGAAACTAAATTTTCCGGTCGATTTAAAGAGCCTGGCGTCTCCTTGTTTCACCCTGTATAGTTTACATAGCCGAGCGCTGTATTAAATGTTGTGAAATGGAATGGAATGTTCGAGCTGTGCTTGAATCTCAGATCTAATATAGGAGTCAAAAAAGAAGAGTACTAATAATGTGTTTTTTTTTTTTTGTTTTTTTTTTTTTTTTGTAGCATTTCACATTTTCAAAACTATGTTTTCCCCTTAAGAAAAAAGGAAGTTTTGCGCATTGTTCATATCCGTGCGAAGCAGTTCATAGAACGTTCGGTTGTCGGTGGAAGAAGGAATGCTTTTAGGCATTCTAAACGCGTACGTCTTGAAAAGATAACATTCGTCTAATCTAAAACGCACCTACGTATACAGTAATCCCTCGTTATTGAGGAGTTTCAGCGAATATAGGGGGCGCTCCGATCGATCCAACATGGCGGACAAGAGGGGGATAGATTTGCGACGCCCGTAGACCGGCAGCGTATAAATAAAACAAAGCGTGTCGTTCTCTGTTTGTTCCCGTGTGCGAGACGATCATCGTTTCAACCAAGACCTACCGTGATGCTCATGGGCGTACCAACCGGGGGGGCAAGGGGGGCACTTGCCCCCCCAGTTCTCAGAGTGGGGGGGCAAGGCATGCGTTTTGCCCCCCCCTGAAACGGCCGCCACTGGGCAGAGCAGACACAGGCCGGCGGCGCCCAAGGAATACCAAGGGCACTGCCCCCCGACCCGCGCGGGCATATTTTTGACGCGCAGGCGATACAAACCCTAGCAACGGTGCTCACGCACGCCGGATTGGCTGGTTCGTAAAGCCTTGCTCCACGAACAAGGCTACACGGTAACCTTACGGAATCCATCCGCGAGACATGGGCCGGACGGGCCGTCCAGACCAGGACGTAGGCCCTTACACAAAATAAAGCTTTGCTTGATTGCTTGGAGATAGGCGCTGCCGCCGTCAACATAGGCAGCGGATGCAATGCGAGTTTCCGAAGAGGTAGCGTAACTTAGTGGTGAGATGTCTGCCTCATACGTGTCAGACCCGGGTTCTATTTATAGTGTGGGCCGGCTTACTTCTTTTTATTTTTTTTCTCGAACATTTTGTTTTGTCGAGGCATTTGGCGATATTTACATTTCTTTTTTACCATTAACACTAAAAAAACGAATGTTGTTGACGAAACATCGCTAAACTAAATCGTATCGACTCTATTTACGGAAGTGCATGGGGGGCAGCGGGGCTTGGGTTGCCGACCGGACGCCGCAAAGCGGCGTGTACGGGGGGTGGGGGGGGCTAGGTGGGTTAATAGATTTGTAATTAGCAGCCGCACACCGTCACCGCGAAGCGGCGTGAATGCAGGCGCGGGGGTGGGTTAACGCGCTTCGAGTGATACACGAGCAGCCCATCCGGCGTGAGCGTCGTTGTTAGGGGTTCTATCGCCTGCACCGTAAAAGGAGCAGTGTGTGCGCCTCCTGTAGTGGGCAAGAATTCCTACATTGGAGAGAAGCGGGGACAAGCCCTTTCTTCAAATGCGTCAAGTCTCCTTGAGCTTCGGAATACAAAGAAACGCCACTATTCGGAGCTAATCCCACAGTTACTCGACCTCTCTTGCGTCGTGTCTGTTCGCTCCCCGCGCCTCGTAGCAGTGTTGTTGCAGTGGGGGGGCTCGTTAAAATTTTGGGGTTTTTTGGACTATCTAAATCACTTTCTTCCTTCCCATCCCCCCCTTTTCTACTCCGCATGCTTCCCCCTCTGCAAATATCAGCTGACCTTCCGACCTCTGTTCTCTGTTGATAGGCAAAACAACCACTAAAATTAGAAAGTAATTTGTAATTTGAGTGGAAGTCACTCGGAAAAGTAGTTAAAGTAAACTACTGATTACTAGAATAGAAATGTAATTAAAAGTTACTAAACTACCCAGAAAAGTAGTTAAACTACAGTAACTTGAGTAAAGTAGTTGAACTACGTACAAGTCTGGCCTGGCAAGCGCTCTGCGTAAGTGTTTTCACTGATCTGCCTAGCCCCGCACACCATCACATGGGCCAAGAAAGGTGTAGTTTTACTGCAGAGGAGAAATCAGCAGGGTCCAAGATGGTGACAATGGAGGATGGGGGCTGTTCCAGTGGCTGATGGCTTGAGAAAGGAATGACCAATTGAAAGCGTTCGTAGAGCCAGAAGTGTGTTTGATGGTGCAGACGTTGTTGAGGCGAGAAGATGTTCGGTCGAGGGGTAATAACAAAGTGGTTTTGAGGTCGGGAATGTGGTAGTAGATTTTGTGAATAAGGCACAGCTGAGAGACTTTCCTGCGAAGCTGCAAAGAGGATATGGTTAGTTCAGTTTTTGGCACCGAGACACTGAAAGAAAAGTCATAAGTGGATGAAATGAAGCGAGCAGCTCTGTTCTGAACTGCCTCTACAGCGCATTGATGAGGTACAGTCGATGGGTATTCCAGATGGTTGAAGCATATTCTATTTTTGGCCTGACGTACGTGTTAAAGGTTAGCTTAGGGACAAAGGGTGGAGCGATTTTTTAAGTTACGTCTGCTTAGTCCAAGAGTTCCAGATGAATCGGCGGTAATGACTTCAATGTGGTTATTCCAGGGAAGGTCAGATGTTAGTCTTACACCAAGGTATTTATACACAGTAGCGGTCTCAATCAGATCGGAGTCCAAGAAGTAATTAAATGACAGAGTGGTTTTTTTCTTGGTGAAGTGGATTAGTTTGCGTTTATACTTGTTTGGTGACATAATCCACTCTTTGCACCAATTGTTAATTTTATCTAGATCTTCCTGAAGCTGGTTATTATTTTGCACACAAGTTACTTTGTTATGGATGACGCAGTCGTCGGCGAAAAAGCGTTTTTTTGAAGAAATCCCAATGGGAATGTCATTAATAAATATTAAAAAGAGTAAGGGCCCAAGTACAAACCCCAGGGGAACACCAGGAGATACATTTATTAAGGAAGATTCATGATCATCATGGACGTGACCTGTACACGGGAAAAAAGAAAGTCACGAATCCATGCAAACGGTTATTGGTCGAGGCAAAAAGATGATAGCTTAGAAAGAAGGCGTTGATGGAGGACACGGCCGAACGCTTTGGAAAAAAAAAAAAAAAAAACTGCGTCAGTTTGGACGTGACATTCAAGGTTAGTGTGCAAGTCATGGATGAAGTCGCAGAGTTGCGTTTCGCAGGAAAGTACCTTTTGAAAACCGTGCTGCTGTTTAAAGAAAAAAAATGGGATGATAGGTGCCTCATCATATTGGAGTAGAGGATATGCTCAAGTAGTTTGCAAGAAATTGAAGTCAATGAATTAGGGCGATAATTAGATGCGGAAGAGCGGCTGCCCTGTTTAAAGACTGGGAATTACCCTTCCCACCTTATGGTCAGATGCAAGGCAGCTTTGAGATGAGGACTGAATGAAGATGAGTTTC